AGTTTCTGAAAAGTTTCATGCAGCACAGTTGTATGTGAGGTAACCCAGTACTTACATTTAAAAGTAAAATTACACCCAGCTCAACTGGTGGATGCGCTCGCGGACTCCATTTTCAAGAACAGAAGAAGAAGTCGCGCGCAGTGCATGCTGGGATACTGAAGGCTGTGAAGGATACTCGGATGTGTCCTCCGTTCGCGGCCCCATCTCCATGGAAACGAGGCCGGTTTTAGGGCTGCATTTGAAGGCTGCATGACATAAAAATGAAATGGGACAGGCCTCGTTTCACCGGAAGTGACGTATGCAGCCTTAAAACCAGCCTTCAGAGGCTGCAGCCCTCGAATTGGGACACAGGCTTAGAAAATCAGAACCAGCAACAAAACGAGAGGATCCAAAACTTAAATCGTGTCCAGGAACTGATCAAGAGGTTCCAAAACTTAGAAAATCAGAACCAGCAACAAAACAAGAGGATCCAAAACTTAAACAATCAGAACAAGCAACAGCATGAGACGATCCAAAACTTAGAAAATCAGGGCAAATCACGAGCAGTGAGGCCCCGCCCCTTTACCTGAGCAGTGAGGCCCCGCCCCTTTACCTGAGCAGTGAGGCCCCGCCCCTTTACCTGAGTGTTTTCTGAGTAACTTTCCTTGAATCAGCAAAAACAATGAAGTCGTGCAAATGTGTTGGGGACGTTTCAGCCGCTGCTTTCACAAACGCTCTGATGTCGGGCGTTGTCCTGTCTCCTCCCTCTCACCAGGAGGTTGTGGGTTAGACTCCTGATCTCTCTGATCTAAGCCCCTCCCCTTCTGTCCCAGGTGAGATCGACTAGTTTTGTTAATTATAAAAAAACAACATTAAACGTTCAACATGTGAAAGCTTCCACAAGAGCAGACCACCTCTCTGTTGCCATGGTTTCCATCTAATATTAATACAGATGGAAAAGTACATCGTAATCACCGGGAAAATGATTTAGCTCCTCCCCTCTGGGACGATGACATCATCACATTCTAGAATCTAAAATAGTTTTGGAGCCTGAGAAGCTGTTGCCGTAGCAACGTGATGTTCTAATGCCGCCCTGGATCTCCATGGTGATAGAACTCTGCTTGATGACATCATCAGAGAAGCACGACGCTGCTTTAAAGTAAACTTTGAGTGACACAGTGAAATAAACACTAAAGTGACAGAATACACTTCCCCGTGGTGTCACATGACCCGTGTCATGTGACCTGTGATGTCATGTGATCCGTGGTGTCATGTGACAAACAGTCATCACAGGTCACGTGACACCACGGGGAAATTATCGCTGGCTACACTCGTTGTTTATTATGTTTCACTTCATGACAAAGTGAAATGTGATCAACAGGAATTATGACATCATCACATTCTAGAATCTGTAAACCATCAATGTGAATTATGACATCATCACATTCTAGAATCTGTAAACCATCAATGTGAATTATGACATCATCACATTCTAGAATCTGTAAAACCATCAATGAATTAGACATCATTTAGAATCTAAAAGTTCAATTTTCAAATTCAATTTCAAAGTTCAATTTCAAAGCTCAAAGCTTTGTGATTTCACTGAACACTTTGACTCAAAGCAAACAGAGTATGTGAGGATATGTCAAAAAAGAATACTTTTACTAATACTTTTACTACTGCTACTTCAAAGCAGCGCTCTGCTTTATGACATCATCAGTAAAGGACAAGCACAAAGCACAAAGCAACTTACTGTTTTGAGGAAGAGAGCTCTCCGGTTGTGTGACCAGTATAAAACAACAAAATGTCCGACTCTGAGCAGCAAAACATGGAAATAAATACAGAAAGTGGCTACACAGGCGATGATTTAAACGGAGCCGGCCACACCGAAGAAGCGAACGACGGCAACGGAGTCGGAGCGGAGGAATACTTGAGCAAGCATGTGAACCCCACCTTGTTAATGGGACTGACTGAACTATGCAAGCACAAACCATCCGACCCTTGTATATGGCTTGCAGACTGGCTTCTTAAAAACAACCCAAATCAACCTCAGATCTGGGAACCAGTTACAGTGGAAAAAGTGGGAAGGCGACAATGAACACTTGTATGTTTTATTAATATTGCACAGTTACTTTTAAAAAACAATAAATAACATGTAGCTACTGCTGCAGTGCTGAAAAAAAAAAACTTACTGTTTTGAAGAAGATTATAAGTGTAACACGAAACAAACACTACAGACACAGAATACTGCCACTTCTACTACGTCTACTGCGTGTACTGCGTGTACTGCGTCGTACTACGACTACTGCGTGTACTACGACTACTGATTGTACTGCTACTAGAGCTACTACTGCACGTTTACACTAGAGCTTTTCTGTCTCTCTACTGCATATTTAAACAGAAAAGATGTCTTTGGGTGTTTTAAGAAAATCTTGGCCTAAGGTCAAGCACCAAATCCTGGAGAAAGAGAACCAGGAACTGCACGAGACGATCCGAAACTTAGAAAATAAGAACCAGCAACAAAACGAGAGGATCCAAAACTTAAATCGTGTCCCGGAACTGATCAAGAGGTTCCAAAACTTAGAAAATCAGAACAAAGATCTGTGCGAAAGGATCGAAAAGTCCTCG